TCACGTGAACGAAGTAACTGCTAAAAGCTAGTTATAAATAAATCAGCGAGCATAAGAAATATCACAGAAAGGTGAGAAAATTGTCGTGAGGATATTTATATACTGGGTTGCAAACATTTTGTTTATTGTTTTGCCATCGCCAGTTCTAACCAGCTGTTCGACTTTATAGAAAATGTAATCTAGGTGATTGTTTTGCGTTTATTGTTTTGCCATCGATTCGTTAAGAAGAAGATTTATAAGATTAATTTCTCTTTATTTATTTTCTTATTAACAAAATGAAATGTGTACTATTTTTGCTTATACTCGTATATGTGTATGTATGAATTAAATTCTTTGTAAATAAATAATAATATAAATTAGTAATTCTATAATCCTAGACAAATTACGTAATGACAGCTAATCATAACTTAAGAGGAGCATGTATTTTATTATATGATGAAAGACATACGTACTTAAATATTTTTTATGTATTCCAATTTATATAATTAAGTATGTATATCAATTATTTTAATTATAATTTATTTTATAATGAAACTTTTTACTTTCCACTGAGATACATCAAAGTTGTTATAAATTAAAATTAAAAAAAATATGCTTTTACTTTTTAATAATATTATTTTTAAATTTTTATTTAATTATTTTGTATTACTAACAAAACATTGACTGTAGTCTGAAATAAAATTTATTTAATTCAAAATAATTTTCGAATTATTTTTTTTTAATTCAAACAAAGTAGCAATTGTTGAGATAATTGAATTAATGTTCCAGATTTAGTATTAACAAATTGTATTCTAATCAGTTTGATTGGCATCTTTCTGGTCGAATCGCAAACCATGGCAATCGCGTGAGACTAGCCCACATAAAATAAAACATAATTTATTATTTTACATAATGGTCACTCGCAACAGTGACTGTTCCTATTTAAATATTATTCATTTATTCAATCCTTATCGATAAATGTGCTGACAGCTTGTTTTTCTAGCACATCTATTAGGCACAAAGGAAATTGCGCAAAAAATATGCTAAGAGGCATAATGGAGTGCCTTTTAAACTGATAGTCTGTATTTTTAATGTGATTTCAAATCTTTATATACTACTTACTGTATCCCGGGATTTTACCTGCGTGAATCAGTATATAAAAAATCCTATGTGCTATGTATTATTATGTACAGATATGTTTATATTTTGATTGTAAGTACATAAGTTGCTTCGTATTTAGGTAATCATATTTATTATTTCTTAATAGAAACAACCATACTATTTTCACAGTTTATTGCACGCACACTGCCCGCTGGTAATTAATGCACCTTTCCACTCAGGATTTGCTGTAAGAGAACTCTTACAGAGTTAAGCTCGACTGTTGTACATCTATATTCAAAATAAATTATAACAATGTAATAAACTACCCATGTACTAAATTTCATTCAAAGTTTTACGTAATCAATATCTATGCGTCTATCCATCGTTACAAACTTTTGCGTTTGTCATATTAATTTTATATATTATATTCATATAGAGTAATAAATTAATGTATAAAAAAAATGGTGGTAACTTATTTTTGTAAACTAATATTACAAAAGGAAAGATTTGACTTTTTGTTTGTAACTGTATGTAATAATAAATTCGCTGTGTGGTCCCCGCATAGATAGAATAGGCCACTCCTTCCTTCTCCGTGGGTGTCGTAAGATTCGACTAAGGAGGAGCGAGAATTAGGGAGTAGGGTTTCTCTTAAAACATCTCTAAAAGCCTAAAGCTGGTTGCCAACCTGCCTGCCAAGCGTGGCAACTAATGGCAAAACTCCCCTAATGGGGAAGACTTATGATCTGCAGTGGTCAGTGAATATTTTCAACGGTTGAAATAATAATAAATTTTTGTTGGTAAAAGTTGTTTCACTTATAAAAAACTATATTATTAGCGTGTACATATGTTTTAATAAAAAAACTATGCAAATAGGATTGTATTGTTAGTGTGTGATGTATTCGTTTATTTTGACAAAAAGTAAAACTTATAATTACGATTACGTTCTAACATGTCTAATTGTATCGGTGAAAAAAAAAAAAAAATAATAAAATTATTTTTATATTGCACTATAAATCTTGAGTCTTAAGGCAATAAAGCGAATGAAAAGCTGTTAAAGCTAATAGGTATAATTCGCAAGCATTCGCGCCTAAGATTTATCGCGAACTTAAAACTGGCCAGTGAAAGGTTATGGGAGCGTTAATCCATTGTAACCGTCCGCTCGCCTTGTGCGCATATTAAGTGCAAGGCAGTGCATTGCCCCCGCAGTGTCGTTGTCGGCTAAACATTAAAGCTTTATAGTATTGCATAACGTTTTAGTTCCAATACTAAATAAAATTGTTCATATATTAATAATAATTTGAAATGATAACTACTGTTTTTTAGTTTCTTGTAGATTCATCTCAACAGATGACTTCGTATGTACAGTAGAATCATAATAAACAGGGACAGTTTAAAAGAGGTTTTACGTAATTCTGTTTATAAAATACATCTTTTAAAGGCAAGTTAAAGTTTTATAGTACTGAACAGAGTCAGATATTCGGACTGTATTTTTAAAATATAACACAAGAAAGAGATTAGAATTAAAAGGTATTTTTAAATTTCTTTGCATTAGATACCGTTTGGCGTGTTAAAAATACCTTACTTCTAACTCTAAATTAACCTTTGTCTTTCTCTTAATGTCCTCTACCCAAATGTTGACTAGAAAAGATTGCTTAGCAATAAGGCCGCCTTTTGTATCACTTCTCATTAATATTTACTGTAAATATTATTTTTTACTTGGTGCAATAAATTGTAAAATAAATAAATAAATTCTAAAATTTTAAATACAGTCTCTAGGTTTATTTTCTGTATAATTCCTCAATACAGGAGAACAAAGAGTTTTAAAATGATTCCAAAGATTTAAAGCTATGGCTTATTGCAGCCACTTACGACCTGTTGTTATTTATCACAATAATATAATTAATAATAATAATTGATTATATTGTTTTACTTCAATTTATTTTTAATATAATAATTGCCGTGTGCTCTCGGAATAGAATGGGCCACCACTTTCATTCCTGTGGGTGTTGTAACCGGCGACTAAGAAAATTTAATAGCCGAGGGATAGACAGAAGCATCCTTCTTCTGTCAAAACATCCAAGCCTAACTCTGAGTGCCAACCGCCTGCTTAGTGTGGCAACTACTTGCAAAACCCCTCTTTTGTCGCAAATCTATGATCAGCAGTGATCAGGTAACGGTTGTTATGATGATGATGATTTATAATATTATTAAGGATTATTCATAGAATTCTTTGACAGTTATTTAAAATGAGTTTCTCTTTCTTGAAAGTTATAACAATAAAGGCTTACCTACAAGTTTCCGTTAATGCGTGCTAACAATACAGCAAACAGACGTCTTGTGTTGTTTGACCGAACTCTTAATACATTCTAATTGCTTTTCTAATTTCCTCCTCAAAAATTACAGTATTTAGCGGCAACGTTGTTTTCTTGCAATTACCCTTATCGATATGGGGAAAACAAAATGTGTTTTTTTTTCTATGTAATCAAAATGCAAATATTCGAGACGGTGCGTGGTGTGGTCGGTAGCCGGTGGCCGGTGGCCGGTTGCTTATCCTGCGACCCACATCTGGGCAAGGCCGCGACCTCGTCGCAACTCCATTTCGTACGAACGCGACGTTTTAGTTGTGTATGCGACGACACATTAGCGATATTTTATTATACAGTCTAAAATATTGGGTCGTTTAATTTAATTTATGCAGATCCTTTAACCATTGTGGAAGCGAAAGATTGTGAGGTTGGATTGATATTTGTTATTATTTTACACAAAAACTACTGAACGGGTATGAACGAATATTGTTACACGGATAGGATAACTAATAACTAACATACAGAATATTTTATATATTGATTCACTTGGCTAACTGTGGAATATAGTTAGTTAAGAATAAAGCATATTGGCGCAAATGTAGTGAAAGGCGATTTCATTCTGACGATTCATGCGACGAACTCAAATTTGTTGTACGGAGTCAATGGACAATGCAACATAATCCAGTAATGATGTCTTAAAAATGATCTTTGTTGAGATTATATAAATGATGATGATGATGATGCCGTAGATAAAAAGGAAATCTATAGATATAAATTACTAGATTTTTTAGTTATGAGTTTTTACTATTTTCTATTTTTCAATCGATTTAAAAAAGAAGGAGGTACTTGATTCGGTTGTATATTTTTTATGTTTGTTACTATTATGAGGTCATAATTTCGTCAGTTATGACCGGATTTGAAAAATTCTTTTTTATATGAAAGGATGTACTTTCAGATTGGTTCCATAGTCGGTCTAGTAATATAGTTTTTAAATGAAAATAACTGATTTTGTTATAATTGAATTGGGTTTTTTGTGGAACATAATATTAAATTGTTATACGATATAACAATATAGGTATTATAACAGATAAATTATATTTTTTAATATTTAACGATCTTGTTGCTGAAGCGGTTTAATACATTTCTGATACAGTGGTATTGGGGATCGATCTCTGCATAGTAAAACATATGTCTACTCATATAAGTATGGAAGTCCTGTACCTTTCAGTAATATTTACAGACTTTCTTAGTACGGGACTAGATAAGGTTATGTGATTAGTTCAGAGGTATTTATTTCTTATTATTTTATTTATATACAGGTATATTTTGCACATTTTTAATGTAAATTAACAAATAAATATGTATGTTTATACATATAATTAGAATTGATATAAATAGTTGTCACATAAGTGGTGAATTTTGAACTACTTTGTTAACGGTGAAAATAGATTTTTCTTAGTAATTACGTTTCAATAATAATTATTAGTAATAATAATAATATGTGAAATCATTGAAAACATTTAGTGAAAATTTTATATCAAAGTGCAAGGTCAAATATATACAAATTACGACCAAAAAAGTGCACATGTTTCAACTTTTTTAGCTTTAAATTACCTTAAAAGTCTTGTATGAGGAGACGACGTACGAAGCTCCGTCCTCAAGTTCCTCGAGCCTGTACTTCCTGTCACCATCCATCCCAAATATGAACCTGGCACCTCTCGGCAACTCCAACCTCTCCGACAACCTGTCCAACAGCGCATCCATTGACGCCAAGTCTCTGCCAGGTTTGAACCGGAATTCCACGCCTGGGTGGAAAGGATCCCCATTCCGGTAGAAAGTGACACGCCGCGCTTTCCAATAATTAAGATTAGCGTAACGACTGGTCGGTTCTGGTCTATTTGGGCGCACTGTCGCTTCAGACCCCTCTGAGATATCATCAGGCCTCTGCGGCGGGGAGGCTGGTCGGGACGGTCGCCAATCACCCGGTTCTCTCTCCTCGTCTGAAGGCGGGTGAGGGTCGGGCTCGGCGGCAGGGGTCGGTTCTGGCGCTGGCGGCGGCTCAGCTGCAGCCTGTGGACGATTTCGCGAATGTAGGCGCGGCCGGGATTGCAAACGGCGCGACATCGCTCGCTACGACCCGCCCGCCGACTGGTCGCCGCGCTCCCCTCAGCTCACCTCTGCCTCTCATTTCAATCAACTGATACACACTTGTCTATATACACTACACAGATATAGCGCGTTTCATTCATGAAACTTACAATTCATGCCCACGTGTGATTGATTGACAGTGGGGCTAGAAGGTCATTGGTTATGTATCTTTGTTGATATGTTTTTTAGCTATTAACATGTGTAAAGTGGTAAAGAGTAGGATACGAATCAGAATATCAAGCTACTTTTACTAAAAAAGATATATTCACGGTTGTAACCACAGATGGGGTAGTCAGAAGCATGTTTCAAGCATTTATTTATTGCCATTGTAGTAAATACATCACTCGACATGCTTAGCCTTTCAAAAGTTAAATGTTGGGATAATGAACTACAACATAACTGATCAAATGTCTCTGACTACCCTTTTTTAAATTGCAATCGTAAATATATTTATTCCATAAATTTCTCCTGTCTATTAGTCAAACCCGTGTTTTAAATATGCTCATATATTTTATATGCAATATATATTTTTTAAAGGCTACTTATTTTATATATGTTAGTCGAATTAATTTTCGAAATTGTAAAACTGAATTCTATGACAATTATTTTTGAATATATTTTTTAACTAATAAATATTTAAGAAACTTGCATATTATTATACATATATTTAAAAACTGTTAAACTCAATAAATGACAGACGAATTAAGACGCGAGCAAACTGAGTAAAATTGCTACAACACAAAAATATCAGAAGATAATAGTATATATAATTGATAATACCGAAAAGCTGCGATAAACGAATGATTTAAGTATTGGCGACTGTGAAGTCATCGTTATGCGGCGAACCGGTCGCTTCGTTCGATAGTCTGTAGATAAAATAAATACACGAGTGCCACGACCCTTGGTCAGTGACTAAATAATACTAGTCACGACCTCGTGTTTGCCGAGTATTGTGATTCAGGTGTTTGTCATAGAAAATTATGATACATTATAACCTTGGAAGGAATTCTGAACTTATACTGTTAACTAATTATTTATGATTCATATCAAAATTGTACTATAGAATATTGTGGAGATTTTTCTTTAATTTTAATATTACTTACTACAGATATTTTAGCTATAGATCTTATACATTTTTTTACATTTCAAATACGTGTATAATATATTTAATATAATTTTATAAATATAATTTTTCACGAGTAAAACTGGTGATAGAGTTTGACTATCCTGTTTATATGTACATGTATAAATAGTTACTCAAATGAACTAGAATTAATTATGTTATTAGTGCACTCATCAAGTATTTTAAAAATGTATGTAATAAATATTATTGTTAGATAGATTTCAAGTCAAAAACAAAACAAATAATTTTGTCAACTTAAACAATACGGCAAATGCCATAAAAATTGTCCTTCTGTTTTATTAATATCATTTTTGTTAATATAATTTATTTTAGTAATTAACAACATAATATAAATGAAAAATTCATGTAAAACATTAAATATGTAAAAATATATGGAAATTGATTGAAAAATAAATTCAAATAACAGTTATTTTTTTTAAACATCAATAATTTCTTTAAACTGGTTAGATTATGACTAATTTAATAGATATGGAATAAGTCTATTTAAAAAATACGCCTATATACGACTCTATTATAAAATATTTTATTAAAAAAAAAAACTTACCACAGCCGCAGCGGCCATCGTAGCTTAGTTATGAACTATCAGCTCACACTACGCTCAGAAGCATCACAATTATACACGAAAACTTGTCAGTGCGTTTAATTATCTGTAAACGAATTGTATATAACCGAATTGTAAGTAGAATAGAGCGGGTGGATATCGCGGGACGCGGGAAAAGCAACGCGGCGCCAAACGCCGGACCTCCGACGCTATAAGTCACAGTGCACGTTTCCGGTCGCTTTTATACCTGTCGTATACTATTTGACACAGTTTCGTACAATCGAAATTATTGTACGATATTGTGGTGTGTACGAAAATTGTCCGGGATGGGTGTAGATTGTTTTTTTTTGTGTTGTCGTGGAAGCGTTTCGCCGCTCGTCCGGTTATGTTTTGTGAACGGAACCGAGTGACGGGCGACGGCGGCGTGGCGGGGCGGCGGCCACCGCACCCGGCTGCGTCACGATGGACCTACTACTTTCTCCTGCTTAATTAAAGTTACATTTCGAGTCTCGAATTAGTAATTTGTTCATGATTAAGCCGTAATTTTGTTAGTTGTTTTGCGTTAATATAAAAGTTTCGTAGTCACCGCTACGCCGTAGACTCGTAGACTTAAACATCATTCATAACCAATAAGTGATTAAATTTATTGATATCACTCTCTTGAAATCAAAACTTTGACGCAGATTTTTTTTTTATATTAAATGAAGTATTTGTTTTAATATTAAATTAATGTATCATAATCGTATCGTCCGTTAATTGTTCACTGCTAAACACAATAGGCCTACTCTACACATAAGAGGGATCTTGCCAGTAGTTGCCCCTGATTGTTACCGTATTTTTGAGTACAATCTATATAAATAAAAATCAATAGCTGAATGACTGAAAGCGCATTGCTTCAGAATGCTTACACTTATTCGGCTTTGTTTTTGTTATATTTTTAATTGTCAATACAAGGTTTTTATGAAAGAAAATATTTAAAAAATTGTACAGAAAAGTGAAAAATTAATATCTAAAATATATAAAAAGTGTGTGAATAAGTAAAATGGAAAATAGTATGTAAATAAAAAAAAATTGGCAGTAAATTTAGTCTTATTTTCTTCATTAGTATATTCATGCGAAGCCAAGGCAAACAGCTACTTAAGAATATTTATATTCATAAATACTTCTAAAAGTATAGGTACAGTTAATCCTTAATGCTTTGAGTGGACTTTCCACCTCCACGTATTTATTCCTTCGGCCGCTAGCTACAGCCAACAGCAAGTCTGCATATACCTGCCGTATCTATGTAGGTTAGTTACCATTACGTTTTTTCAACATTCTACTTAAGCGGATATTCGACTGTGTTTTATGAGCCCCAATTACCTACTCCCCACTTTATAGATGCTTTATTAATTATAATAATTCTATAAGAAATATTGATCTGTTTATTATGTAAAAAGTTATCGGGGAAATATTTTATGACCCTTGTAAAGAACAAATAAATTTTGTTCTACAAAACAATCAGCGACTTAATTATTGAAAAAAAAAATTTGGTTAGTAGTCGCACTATTTTAATTATAACATATTACATCATCATGAAAGTAAATTCTTGATCCTTTTGAATAAAAAAACTTATTAAAAACGGTTCACAATTAGAAAATAGAAATACATATAGAATGGTACTAAAAATTTATTCGAATCGAGAACGAGAGGTTTTGTTATAAGTTTTTTTTCATGCACTTTAGAATGGCAAACAAGCTGACGGCCCACCTGATGGAAAGTGGTAATCGTCGCCTACAGACATGAGCAGCACCACGGACATAACATACTGTTTCGCTCATGACACCTCCATGCGTTGCCATTCCTGAGGACTCAGGTGTTATTCCTCTGTACTCTGTAAATTCACTGCCATATCCTACCCTTCAAACCGAAACACAGCCATGCAAACACAACTGCTTCATGGTAGAAACACGAATGGGACAGAGTAGAGACCTAAGCAAACGACTTTTAAAAGATAAAGATTAAAAAAGAACATTTTGCTCCAAGACGAGCAGTTTTTTGTCCCGCATACCAAATAGGAGATTACATTATAATAAATTTAATATACGAGTAAACTTTATCAGATACAACTAAGTGGATTTAGAATTGGCCGCAAAAATAAAACTGAGATGAATTAGGAACCTCATTTTTTGGTATAAAAATGTTAAAGACTAGTTTTTATCCGCGACTGGGTTCGCGTGACTAGAATATGTCCAGTAACTGGAATTAAAAACAGGCAATTTTCTAATGATCCCATATAGTACCTATATACTACTTATTCATATTTCATAGCGCCAAAAGGTAATACACAAACGAACTTACTTTTACATTTGTAATATTAGTCAAAATTAATGGACGAATGCTGATATTGAACTAACAATTTTGAAAATAAATAAATCAAAATATCGAAAGCATTGTGTCAAAGTTACAACACAAATTGGCCCTCAACCTTTGTTATCGGGTAGGATCGAAAATCGCATTTCATTCATAAGTTATGTCAAGTTTTACTCATTTTAAAGCGACTTTTAGAACGAGAAGGTTGTATTTCACATTCATTGTATTGTATATACATTTGTATTTTTTATAAAACACATGATTTCTTGTTCACAATTCAAAAACTACGAAATGACTCAATACTCATCGGTGTATTTATTACAAGTGACTTGTATTTCTATATCTATTTATTTTTTAATAAATAAAATGCTTCTAAATTGCATATAGTAACTACAAAATTAAGCCAACACAATTTACATTGATAAATTATATACTAATCCTTCAAAAAGTTTACATACACGGTGTTCATGTCTATAGTTACTATTTTTTATCAGTTGAGCTGTAAGCTATCTACTTCCAGATAATATTGTATATCATAAAATAACAACTTCAAATCTGGCAAAACCAGTTATTTTGATTACAAAACTAAACTACTGAACCGATTCTGTTAATTTTTTTTTTATAACAAATCTGTAAGTATATACTTTTAGATAAAAAAAGAATTTTCCAAATCGGTTTACAACCGACGTAATTGGGGGGAAAGGAATTGCTAGTAATGGAGATTGAGAATCCCATTGCTAGCAATATACCCAACCAGGTCAACCTCCTCGCGGTTTTCCCTGGAAACTATCATGGTTAATTCTTGATGAATTCATCATGATGGGCTAACTGGCCTGTTTTCATTCTCATCTATCACCCTTCACTGGTGCTCCGCCAGCGTACCCCGTTAGCGCGGGTTTACCATACCAGTTTCACCCATCAAAAAAAGACCGACATAATTATGAGCTAATAAACATAAAAAATGCAACCGATTTACGAATCTACTTCTTTTTGGAGTCAATTAAAAAGTATCACGTTTGCTAAGGCTCTTAGTGCATAACAATTATTTAAGGAAGCTAATTAGACTCAATTTTTGTTCCTTTCGTTTAATAACTTGACATTCAAGAAAGTTTGATCGGCGACCAGTTTTCCAGTTAAAACATTATCGTATTGGTCTTTACATTGCGGCCAGTAATTACACGGCTATTTTGCACTATTAACCGTAAACACATAACTTTCTTAAACAACATAATGAACGCTCCGACATTTGCAGCTTTTCAAAATTTACATAAACAATTGAAGTAATATATGGGTATGTTAACATTATAGGGAACTGCGAAATACCTAAGTAGGTCTTTCGCAGTCTCTTTGATATGTTAATTTTCGACTGGTTTAGTTAGTTTAATTGTAAACTTTTGGATCTACAAATTGGAATAGTAAGCCATCAAGACTGTCTATTGCTTCGAAATAAACAGATTTTTACTCCGCATGGACAAACGGGGATTGTCTACGATTCTTTTGCATTCGATAAGGGTTTATGTGATAAGACACAAGATACGGGAGTATATCTTTATTGCTGGGGGGGGGGGATTGTTAGTAATTTGGACTACTAATCCCATTGCTAGCAATATACCTTGCCAGGTCGACCTCCCCGTGGTACCCCTGGAAACCATCCTGCTGAATACCAAGTGTATTCATCACGATGGGCTAACTGACATGCATTTTCATTCTCACCTGTTTTCATTCTCTGATGCTCCGCCAGCGTATACCGTTAGCGCAGGCGGGGTTATCATTCTATTATCATCCACCAAAAAAAAATCTTTATTGCTGGTAAAAAGAATAACCTATTAAAATTTGCTCAGAATTGGAGATATTAGAAATAATAAAAAAAATGCATATTTTTATTATCATTATATTTGCTGTCAACTGTCTATTGCTGAACATAAGCCTCCCCCTTGGGGGGTTTTGTGTAGGGTTTTGAGTAGTTGCCACATTTAGTTGGCAACTGCAATTAGGCTTTGGTAACATTTTAAAAGGTACGTTACTGCCTACTCCTCGAACATTAAGTCCCCTTAGTCGCCTCTTACGATACCTATATATACAGATACAGCTAATAATAACATTTTTAGTAATATTATAATATTTAATATAATAGTATACGTATTTGTATTTAACTCGAATTATGACACGATTATTATAAGTAAAAATATCCGGAACCTAGAAATATCGATTTACGTCTTACTTCGAGTTACTGTATTACTGTATAGCGTGAAATCAACGCATAATATGTGTGCAAGGACATTTTACCTATAAATATCATAATAGTTCCCTTTACGTACCATACCTTAGATGGTAGTAGTGGAGAACATGCAACGAAACATAAGAAAGAAATATCGATAATATATCTATGCTATTTTTTGTATACTTGTTGCAACTGATATTTTATGTTTAAGAAATTTAAAGTTTGCTTCTGCAGTTTACTTTAGAAAACAAAATAGTTAGTTTTTTTTTGTAGAAAATAATCTTAATTATTTATTTTGTCGTGCACTATATATTTTTTATGTAACTTAGAATGGCAATCAAGCTGACGGTCCACCTGATGGAAAGTGGTAACCGTTGCCTATAGACATGAGCAATACCATGGGCATAACAGAGTATACTGTTTCGCCCATGATACCCCCCATACGTTGTCATTTCTGAAGATTCAGGGATTTAGGAATCAAATGACGATGGACATAAATCTACTACATATATACATGTATTTTATTTGGAATTATTACTTTTATTTAAAGTCTTTCTGCTTATAGTATTTGCGGCAAAGCTGCCGTGTCACCATTCACTAATTCTTCACTTTTTTCGCTAGGCATATAGCCTATTAAATTATAAATAGGTGCTTGTTAGGTTATTAGCTAACATTAATTTATACTATACTTGACCTAAATAACTATTGGCGCGCAAACTTGTTAGAAATAATTAAATAATAATATATTTTATATCTTTGGTCTGTTCTGATTAAACGTAATAAAAAATCAAACAAATAAAGGATTGAACAGGGCATAAAACGGTCTGCTGATTTCCAATATCAATACAAGTCAGAAATCATTTAAATTATTGCAAGTTTATTATGATTTCATTTAGAGAATGTTACTGTGGTAATTTCAACAAATAAATTCACTGTATACTCTATTATATCCATGATATTGTTCATTGCATTTATGTCTATGGGTCACGGTTACCACTTTCCATCGGGTGGGCCGACAGCTTGTTTGCCATTGTAAGCTGCATAAAAAACTTGACTTTCCATTAAATTCTATTAAAATATATATTAAAATATTTATAGCCAGAAAAAATAGAACCATTATATATAATAAGTATCTCATATTAGGCAAAAGGAGCTAGCTCGGCTGAAACTGTGAGTACCACAGTGGGATGTGTACAGCTGCATAGCGCTAGTTTTCAGCTAATCCCACACTTAACAAAATGTAAGTAAACAATATATATTGGCTATAATATTAGTGATCCATTCTGCCTTCGCACGATTTTTTATACGATAGATGACTCTAAGTCTGAAGATAAATAATTATAATCAATCTCCAACTTTATCAATATACCAGTTTAATGCGTTTAAAAACTCTAATTAAACACCATACAATATAAGTCGTTAACTGTCCACTGCCGAATCCTCTCCCCTGGGGAGGTTTTGTCAGTAGTTGCCATGCTTAGCAGGCGGATTAGGATTGTTAGGCTTTGGTGATATTTAAATAAAAGAACTAAATAAACGGTAACAATTAACAAATGCCTCTGCTTAAGAATTATAGTCGGGAGAATATTTATTTTTATTTTATTTTTAAACAACAATAAATTAATTGAGTCTCTATGGTCGTTCATTACAAAACGTTTGTTAATTTTACTTAGAAATTAATTCATTCGTTGCGTAATAAACATAGTTGTCCTACTTTTATATGTTATCTTGATCTTACCTAACAGCAAATCGTGATCCTGGAAGGCTTTATAACGATTACATCTTGTAATTTTGTGACTAAGGAATTTTCAGAATCACGCAATG